AAAGCAGAAAAATCTCTTGCTTTGAACTGCTGTGCTGGTTTTGGCTGGGATAGAGTTCATTTTCTTCATAGTAGCTAGTATGGGGCCATGTTTTGGATTTGTGCTGAAAACAGTGTTGTTAACACAGGGATGCTTTCGTTACTGCTGAGCAGCGCTTACACAGAGTCAAGGCCTTTTCTGCCTCTCACACCACCCCACCAGGGTGGAGTGCACAAGAAGCTGGGAGGGGACACAGCTGGGACAGCTGACCCCAACTGACCAAAGGGATATTCCATACCATATGATGTCATGCTCAGCAGTAAAAGCTGGGGGAAGAAGAAGGAAGGGGGGCACGTTCAGAGTGATGGCGTTTGTCGTCCCAAGTAACCGTTATGCATGGTGGAGCCCTGCTTTTGTTTCTTCATTTCATCGAGGCTTCTCTCAAATAACTTCATTCTGAATGCAACTCATTAATGTCTGCTCCCTGCCCCCTGCCTTTGCAAGCCTTCTCCAACTGGCTAAACATGGTGATTGGAGCTTTTCAGATTAATTTTCCTTAAGTGACCTACTTTGCAGAGAAAGATAATCATGCATTTATAGCCTCTGGCGCTCTATTCAGGTCACAGATGGACAGATAGCAAAGCTATTCCTCAGTGACTTACTGGGGTTGTAACTAATCTTCCAATGAGAAAGGAGATTGTCCTGATGTTGATTCGTCAAAATGCCTAAAAGTATGGAAGATCATTGACTCCTACTTTAATTTTCAGGCGGCGTCACAGTTAGGCTGTATGATACCAGCCAACAGTTGTTCTAAGAGTGTTTTGTGGTAGTGAATGAATTACAGGAACTGTAGATGTTAACCATGTGGTGTTTTGACTGCGGATATGTCTGATATTACACACATACCAGATACTGTGGCTGGCACCAAGGGGTCAGAGATTCAGGAGAATTTTGAGCTTTTGCTCACTAACAAGTGCTTACAATCCTGTGAACAGTTGTCATTGTAAAGACAATTTTCTGTGCAATCAGACCTAAACCTCTGTTATGAAAGCATTTTTTTTGTGTAGCGTGATCAGTTGAGCCAATAAGACTCGTATTTTGCTGTTATCCATTAGAGGCCCGTTCTCCCTCTTGTGTTTGGCACTAATGTAGTGATGTATGCAAAACAGCTTGTTCTCTTATTTTCAGATGTTCAGAAGTTTCACAAGGGAAATGACCGGCTTTATTCTCTGTTAGGATATTTTTAAAAGTTTGGTGGAGCTTTTCACACTGAGAAACAGGCAACAAGCAGGAGTGTTAAGGATGTCTCTTTTTTGGAAGGACCATCTTGAAACTTTGAGTGTGCCAGGCAGTCAGTGATGTTAATTCTGACAGGTCTGAAGAACTCACTGTTAAAATTGTGACACTGCTGGCAAAGGGATGGATGGCTTTCAGAACAAAACGAAACATGTATGTAGGTGGAATTCTTGCACTGCAGGACTGCAAACGTGTATGCCTGTCCCCCGCAATGTATACATACAGCTTTGCTCTTTGCATGACGGTGCAAAACTGAAAGGTGTTCTGGTAGAAGTTGCACTGCAGTTTGGATCACTTTGATCACTGAGTAAGTGTTCGTATTTCATGTGCTTCTTACAGCAAATAATCTCAGAACACACGAGGAATGATTTGGGTTTGGTTTAGATACTTAAAACTGTTAAGATAACCTGACAGACCTGTGTGTGTATCTCCTGTGACAGAATCTAATGCATCAAGGGCAAAACCAATTCCTTTTTGCAAAAAACCTTTCAAACAGGAATTAAGTAAAAGGTTTTAGAGAGAAAGAGTATGTGCATCCCTCCCACAGCTATCCTGAGGGACTGTAGTGCAGCTGTTCCACCATCAAAATTCTGGCCATGGGCTCTAGCAGTTTTTGGGAGCCCTTTGAATTTTCCACATGTGTCCTTCAGCTTCTGGATCTGTGTGTTCCCTCTCCCAGGTGTTAGCCCCAGCATCTTCTTTTCTGAGAGAGAATTCTCATTGTGTCTGAACTGAATGTTTCTCAGCGTTTCCTCTGGAAGTGTTGATAAATTTGAACCAATGTAGCTCTACAGATGTAGGCATCAATGCAGATACTCTTAGGCTAGCTTAAGAATGGCCTGCTGTAGGTGTGCTTTTATCTGGTCCTAAAATAATTAATCTAAATAAAAATAAATCCAGTTTTAACCAAACTAATCCACAAAGCATAATTTAAATTCTTTTTTTTTTTCTTTTTTAGTTTGTCAAGAAAGTATTTGAAAAAAGTAAGTCAGCACTGGCAGGATTGGTTATGGGCTATTTTAATTAATTAGGTTTTGTGAAATAAAAAAATCACATTTTTTGTTCTGTGTTTCCTAGTATAATATCCATCACATCATTGTGTTTATGTCAGAGAATGTGGAGTTTTATAAGAAGCAACAGGACAAGTTTAAATAGCTGGGAAACATTGTGTATTACTAGATACAAAACTAGAGTAATTTAAGTAATATGTTTCTACTTTATGGAGCCATAGTACAATCTGTAGAAGATACAGTAGAAATTATTTGTAGAAAAAAACAGTATATGCTACAAACAAATACTGTCTGCATTACAATAGACATGTTCATGCCCACTATGTAGATCTCTTAGGGATAAAAAGTACGATTGAGAAATAATACTAGTGCATTCCTATAGAAAACAAACAATTTTAAAATAACCAGCTCCAAAGAAACCTTCTAGCTTTTGTACAAGGGTAGCCATGGCAGTAATAGAAAACACATCCTTCATATTTAATGCTGACATTCCAGTATACAAGCAATAACTTAAGAGCTCCTGACTGTTTTCTTGGTGGGTTAGTAAGGGCACTGGGCAAAGGAGAAGGTGAAACACACCACGAATCCCCCTCTCATTATTACTCAGCACTACCTGAGAGTCTGTCTTCTGGGATCTTCATGGCTTAGAAGTTTACCTTGTATCATTGTGAGTATACAAATTATTACATTGAAAGAAAAAATCCATTCTCTTCCCTGTTTGCCTATTAAATTAAGATATTAAGTGATCAAACAGTTCTCATCGTGTAACTGTCCCAGATACAAAGCTTTTAGTGTGCTGCGTTACATCAGTATAAAACCTGGTGTGTATATTTCTTCTGTGGGGAAAGATGAGTAGTAAGGCACATTTTGTAAACATATACAGGTGTCTCACACACACAATTTGCTACTAGTCCTGCCCAGCAGGACTACTAAATAGAACTACTCCCTTGCATGAAATGGCTGGAACAGATATTTGTTTGCCAGATCAGAACATCAGGGAGGAGTTATGAATATGATAATGAACTAGATTTTTTTAGCATGTCTTTTACAGAATTTGTTGATCTGCTGTGCTACCATAAGTGAAAAGTAAATCTGATTAGAGAAACAGAAGAGTAGACATAGTTACAGAAATTTGTTCTCATCTCCTTTAATATGAGTCAGTGTTCCTGATGAAGTAGGATTATCGTTATTTTAGTTTAGTCATTTAAGATTTCAAATTTCCAGTGGTGAACTTCTAATTAGTTGAATAGATCATGAAATGCTAGAGCAATTTGAAAGAACCCATATTCCTCTTCTGAAGGAACTTGTATTCCTATTCAAGGGGATGAAGCAGCGTATTTGGAAGGAAATGCTGGAGTGTGGAAGAATCAGACATCACGTTTTAGTGAAACAGTAGATGTGATCTGAATTGGTAATGAATGTTCCTTGGTGGCTGCTTGATTTTGAACACCTAAGGAGCATTTATAGGAGTCATAATGTTTTTGAAATATGCCTTGGTGGGACGGACTGTGCATATGCATGAAATGGAAGAAAGAAACTTGGTGGACAAAATGATGGCAGAATGTTTCGTTGTTCATATGTATAAAGTTCAAATAAACCTATAAACTTACATGCAAAATAGTAAATTTATAATTAAATTAGGTGTATTAAAATATTTGTTATAATAAATAATTAGATTATAATAATTCCTCATAATTCATCACAAGCCTATATGCAAAATAATTTTGGCCAGAGTTACAGATCTTTGCTTTTCAGTGATGCCTTTAATAGTAAGCCAGTTAGACAAAATGAGTTATTTTCTCTATGTGTTCTCCATGTAGGTGTGCACCTCATATGCTGTTAGCATTATACAAGTAAACATTAAAATGCTATTTGCATACTAATACATTCACCTGATGTGTCTGAGATGTTTTCCGCTTGCATACTGAGTGCATAGATAGGGTCTGTGGATGATGGCAAACTAATTACCTGTGAAAATTAAAGCCCTGTGTTTGCTCAGAGAATAACTGAACTGTAGGCAAGGATTGTTCCTTCATAGGCTACTTCAGTAAACCCCAATATCGGCTTCCTCTTTGCAACAGAGCAATAATATCTCTATGCTCCTTGGTCTTTAGTGTCTTTGCTGATATATGGAGGAAAGGTATATTCATAGTATTATGGTGTTGAAATTCAAGATCTTTGAGTTTGCAAGTACAAAGTAAATATGGTATTTAATAAAGAAAGTGTATTTCAGGGATAGAAGGCTTGCATTAAGACAACTAAGATGTAGTTCTGAAGCACTACATTAGCTCTCTTTACTCAAGTTGGTGACAAATCTTTTTCTACAATATATTTCATAAAGTAGTAGATTAAAAAAGCACTTTCACAATACATATGTATGACTATAGTGACTAATCATATACATATTCCAGAATTACATGTTGTTGCTTTTGGGAAGATGTTGTGGATTTCATCATCCTTAACATTTTATTAAAAAAAATACCCTGTTGAACTCGGAGGGTAGAAGTTGTTTTCCAATAACGACATAACTATGTTTTCTGAATTTATAATTTTGATGATTTGAGCATTTGGATTCTCATTTGGACATTCAGTCATAGGATATTTGCATCATTATGTTTTTCCTGGATATTTTGAAAAAAAATTATAAGACATTTTAACAAAAAGAAAAAAGGAAGAGATCTGGGGGCTCTGACCATTCTCATTCTGTCTGTGCAGTTCGACAATCAGCAAGCATTGGGAGGCAGAACTGGCCACGCTGAAGGGTAATAACGCTAAGCTCACAGCAGCCCTGCTGGAGTCCACTGCCAACGTAAAACAATGGAAACAACAACTTGCTGCGTATCAGGAGGAAGCAGAACGTCTTCATAAGCGGGTAAGTCGAGGCAAATGGCCAGGATCCTTGAGGTGGAAGTACCGGTGACGGTATTCGCTCATTTTCAAGTAAAACAAATATGTTTATTGTTGGGGCTTTAGGTTAATCTTTGAAACAGAAATTAATGATTATTTTAAAGCACACAGGGTTCCTCTGATGGGAAAATCCTTTGTAGCAGTTCTTTTTCTGCAAAGGATATTGTTGCAGGAAGAGTTATCTAACCTTATAACGTGTTTGCCATCTTTCACTCTTCATTTGATGCCATCACATCTGTTTCAGGACTTTCTCCATAGCACTACACTTTAGTACCTCTTGCATTTAAGTCCACAGAAACTTGACATCTCATCTGTAAGTTACAGAAACCCTGTTGTAGTTTCCCCATACAACAAACACGAACAGCTTCCTCTTATCCTTGCACCGAAAGAGAACTGAACATAGATTCAAGATCATTATATGCAGTTAGAGATCTGCTTCCATTTTCATACAGGAGGGGCTGGGTCCGGTTCCCTTCAATGTAAATTTTGCAGAGGTCATTTGGCAAACCAAAAATTAGTGCACAGGGAGGGAAGGAGTGACAGTGTTTGAGGGAGGAATAAAACATGCAAGGTGAAGGCTGCATTATGAAAACAAGCATACAATATTTTCATTTCTCTTCTCTTTTTACATGTAATTCTTTATATATTGTATAATCTATTCACCTTTATCCATATGAATATGTCATCATGGCTTAGGACACATTTTTGTGCAAAGTGAAGGCAAGATTAGCACATGTATAGAGGGAAGATGTCTTATTGATGAAACTATTACTTTTGTTAATACCAGTTAACTTAGAAAAATATCAAACAGCTGTACTTAGTTAAGAAAATAAAAACAAAAGCATTGCTTTTTGCATGAAAACTGGTTTCATGAATATGTTCACAAGAAGGGCAAGGTCAAGTAGCAAATGTGGCAGACCTTTTAATTTGTTTTTTTTATGCTTTACTCACCTGTATGAAATAAGGTATGGTAATTACAGGTAGCCAAATCCTGCAAATTGCGAAGGGTTCTTTCAGACCGGCGCTGGACCTGTCTATCTGGAGGCTGTTAGTAGTCCCAAGAACAAGGCTCATATTCATCAGAGGGGGGCTACATCTAACCTGGGGATGTGGGGGATGTGGAAGAGTAGCAAGAATTCCTTTGAGCTTGAGAAACCTGGGGAAATGGCAGGTTGTTGGGGCTGTCCTATACCTAGACTGACTTGCAGACAAGGATCCTGAAGTTCCAGCCAAATGATTTGATAGGGAAGAACGACAATTTCCAATGGACTGTAACTGTGTGTGGTATCGCTGGCTGGACGAAATGCATGAAGTGTAATTAAAATAACTGGTGCTTTTTGCAAAGTGCTTTCAGTTCAAGAAATTGGCAGTTGCTGAGAAAACTGCTTTGCTTCAGAAATTTTCCAGTTGGGCACAAGCTTGTCATGTGTGTTTGTACAGAGAGAGACTTTTGCTTTGTCTGTCATCTCATTTAAGCTTTTACTTTGGAAGGGTGGGACTTCTAACCTGTGCTCAAGGTTTGTGAATAGATGATAACAGTCATTGTTGATAAAATTATTTAAATTACAACCTTGTATTAAAATATAGTGCAGATGTTCAGGTGGATTTGACCACCAGCTGAGCTTTAGAGTGAAGAACTCATCACTAAAATGTGGATATAATGAGGTAGCATTCTTCCTAATAAAATGTATTAATGGCTTTTGGTGCAAAGCTGAGACAATACAGTCCTTACCTAAGAAAGAAAAGAAAAGCGACACATAGCAACAGCAGCTGCATTTGCTGTGGGGAGACCCAACTAGACAAGACAGGCAAAGATACCTTTTTTTAATGTTACTCTCACTCTTAGTTAAATCTTATTAAAAGATCTGTTATTGGCAAATACAATCAATGAACATAGGAATTTTTAGCATGTCACTTTGCTTTTATATGATACTAGTTACAGAAGTAGTAACCAAGTCTTTGTAGCTGCATACGTTAATAGCTGATGATTTTTCATAACCTTTGCCCAGCAAATTTCCTGGAATTATTTTGTATTTCTGAGGGAACACAAAATCTTGTAACATGGGATCATCTACACTGTGCTCTTTTGATCACCGTTTACATACCTTTACTAAATGTTTCTGTAATCTGTGACCTAGGGGCTTGTTAATACCTCACATAGAATATAGGAACGCTCTGTGTCTCTGTCTCTCTGGGCATGCCTGTAAATTACAACAGGATAGTTCATCAAGAGTACTGCCCTCTATTGGAATTGCTTTTAGAAAAACACAGACTTGGCTAACCCAATAAATCAAACTCTGTAGGCAAAAGAATGCAGAACACGTTAAAAAAAAATCAGCCTCAATCTGTTATCCATACGGTGTGATACAAGAGCTTTTCTAACCTGCATGCTGGAGACTGATCTTTCATATTGAAATAGTGCCCCATTTCAAAAAGAAACTGCAAGTCAGATGTTTCTCTCTTCCACAGATTGAAAATGTGCTGTTGAAATAGCAGATCTGGAGACTGTTGGTTGTGGTACATGTGGTAGCAAGCAGTGTTACGTCACTGTATTGTGTTATCTTTCTGTTCAGTTTATCCATTAAGCTCAGTATAAACATGTAGCTGCAGCTGATCCAAAAAATGTTCCTTAAACTGGAATCTGTTTCACCTGAGATTATGTAGAAGTTATATATCAAGTTTACAATGGTCATCTTTTTTTTCTTTTAATTCTTGGAGAGACAAAAGCATGAAGAGTAGGCGTCCCAGTCTTAAGCAAACTGACTAAGGTGTTGAGTTGAATTTGCTTCTGTAAGTGCTTGTCTTTTCTCCATAGGATAATCATCTAGATAGTCCTACAGAAATACTTTTAGTCAGATGAAATGAACTCCATCTTTAGTTCATAGAATCACAGAATAATTTAGCATGCTGGCTAACTTTGGAGGTTATCTGGTACAGTTCTCCACTGAAAGCAGGGCCAACTGAAGTTAGAGCCAGCTCCAGGGCTGGATCAAGTTACTCAGGGCTGTGAATCAAGTCTCAAAAAATGGAGATACCACAGCCTCTCTGGGCAGCCTGTTCTAATGTTTGATCACCCTTGTCAAGTTATTTTTCCTAATATCTAATTGAAATTTGCCATTCTGCAACTCGCATCTGTTGCCCTTTCAGCAGAAAAATGGGGTTTGATCCAAAAGAAGCTTTGGTGAGAAAAGTTGGATAGACCAGATCTTTAGAAATACTCATAGAAGATTTGATTCCAAGGAGAAAGAAAAATCTGGAAATTAGTTTGCACATTCGGTTGTAATGTAGTTGTTGTTCTATATGGAAATATTGGCTGTCACAGCATCTTGCCAACTGGAGAAGAATGTGTGTAGATACATATGCATTGGAGGGATACAGCCACTTACAAGATCATAGACTTGTATGAAATAGACCAGCCTCCAAAATGAAAAATGGTACTACTGACATTAGCTGCTATATTCAGTTCAATTTAATAGTATATTATGTGGTTTATACATAATGTAATTGTGGTATTCACTCCTGACATGTTTTAGGTTCATATACAAGTTTTGGTGCCTGAGTCATCTGTCTGCAAGCTACAGCAGACTCATATCCTCTGTCAAGTGTGGTGTGTGTGGAGAAGTAATGCATATTGATTAGTAAACTTTTATCTTCTATTTTTTTCATTCACTGTGGTAAACTGGGTCTTGTGCAGTATTTGTTGTAAGCTCTGCTTTTTAAGTTGTTTCAAATTATTTTAAGCCCACCATTTTTTATTCTATAATTGTTTTAAAATTTGACTGAAATAGTTTTTCTGCGTATCACATTGTTTACACTTTATAAAATACAGAAACAAAGCTAAAATGCCCCTTTCTTTGATTTTGATTGCATTCTTTGAAATTGATTTCATTTATTATTTGCCATTTCTGATTAAGTGTAAGATTTACTCATGTATCAGTTCAGTTTTTCATATTAACCTACATTTATTTGCCTTCTCTGAGGCCTTTATCTTCCTTCTTCCATTTGTTCTCTGCATTAATAATGCCTAGAGCTGAGATGAAACAGAATACAGATTCAGTGTGGCTGAGTGCAAAGTTTTCAATAAATTAAAGTTTTGTTCTCTCCTCTTATATATTGTGAGCTAATGTCAGAAATACTGTACTTTGATATTTTGTCCAACATTATATTTTTCAAAAGTTTGCTAAATGAGTGTATGGATTTTTTTCCTCTCAAATACAAAGAGATAATAATTCTGGGAAGATGTGATGCCCAGTCAAGAGCTTAACTTGGAGCTCTCACCCTTCACTCCTCTAATCTGTTCAGAAGCAACTTAACAACAAGGATTTCCCATAAGCGGGGTTGGGGAGCACTCCTACACACCTTGCATAGCTTTTTGAAGTCAAAAGGGATTCATGAGTTTAGAACAGCTCAGTAACAGAAAGAAAAACCCTGAAGTGAGCTACTTCAGACAAATAGAATAGCATTGGTATTAACATTAATCCGGATACCACAAAAAGGAAAGGATTGAATGGTGATATGAATTATGGAAAGTAACCCAAAGTTCTGTCTTTGTCATGTTAAAAATGAAAATGATTAATTTTTTTCTTGCATGGTAACTGCTGAAGTAAATCATCCTATGACACTGGGCAATAGCACAGAGTAATAACACCACTGCATAATAATAAGAGCTGCAGTCCTTGAAAATCATTTATATGCGGGAAAAGAAACCTAAGATAAAAAAAGATGAAGGGAAGTGATCAAGCTCTTGGGTATTCCTGAAAGAACAGAGAAGTAAACTCTTAAATTCTGGCTTGTTATTTTACCAGGATATCCTAGGAAATAACATAAAATTAGCCTATTATGTTCTGGTTCTCTTATTCAATGAATGAAATAAGTATGAGGACATCTTATATAGTCATCAAAACCACCTGACAAACAATGGACCCTGATTTCACTACTGTTAAAAGAAATTTTAAAGTGGATGTT